TTTTGGGGGGGGGGGGGGGTGGGGGGGTTAGAATGAAAAACAAAAGATATCATGTAGTGCTGATTTTTTATGAGAACAATTGCATCCTTCACCACCTCTATGTGGCACCATTAGGTCCCACATAAAAGCTCTACCCTCGCTGCACACCATAGCTTGCCTGTTTTGTATCACCATTGCTCAAAGAAACAAACATGCTTTATTTTTTCAGTAAATAAGAAACAAACACACTTTATTTTTTCGGTTTTTTCAGTAAATAAGAAACAAACATAATTTCATTTGGCCAGTATAACCCAAATTGTTTTAGAGCAGTCTTTTATTGGATATCAATCAAATTGTCAGATACCCAAGTCATACTAGACTCCTTATACCCCATTATGAAAGTGTCATTCAGTTGGCATCCTTGGCACCGAACATGGCTAAACTGAATAGGAGGGAATTGGAGGAAACATATCTAGGACAATTTTGATGAGAATGAAAAACACAAGATGTCATGTAGTGCTGATTTTGATGAGAACTATTGCAGCCTCCACCACCTCTCTGTGGCACAATTAGGTCCCACATAAAAGCTCTACCCTCGCTGCACACCATAGCTTGCCTGTTTTGTATCAACATTGCACAAAGAAACAAACACGCTTTCTTTTTTCGGCAAATAAGAAACAAACATAATTTCATTTGGCCAGTTTAACCCAAATTCTTTTTGACCAGTCTTTTCTTGGATATCAATCAAATTGTCAGATACCCAAGTCATACTAGACTCCTGTTACCCCATTATGGAAGTGTCATTGGCATCCTTGGCACTGAACATGGCTAAACTGAATAGGAGGGAATTGGAAGCATATCTAGGACTGAAAACTACAATGCTGCAACTGCTCATAGACATATCAAACATGCATCCAATATCAGGACTCCCCTCTTTTTGTACAATGCAATTAAGTTCTCTCTCTCTCTCTCTCTCTCTCTCTCTCTCTCCCCCCAATAGACAGACAAACACATGCACATATATGGGAAACTTGTGGAATATTAAGCATTTCCTGGATTGGTCCTGAAATAAGAAGAGAGACCTTCAAGAACCCTTGGAAGATTAAGGTCTCTGCATATTTGAGCAATTCACATTGGCAAGGCCATTGCACCCTAAGGAGATGCCACTGAACGTTGTTGGTTAACTACTTACATAAAGGAGTAAAACAGTTTATTAGAAAAATCAAAAATCGGCCAATTAACCTTTAACACTTCCACCATTCCCCACAACTCTTGGTGTTGCTACCGACCATCCAAGCTTGAACCATGTTCACCTTCCCAATTCACCAACTTTTACCATACATGTGTCCTGAACCCTTATATTTCCATTCCAATATTATATATCACTCTATACCATGTTGCACCTCAACTTTGACTTGCATCTCTCTAACAGCGAAGAAGTTTCCATATTGTATCTTTGAAAGGAATTGATTGTGATTAGAAATTCAGTCTTACAAAAATGAAGTAAAAACTCTCAGCAAATCCATTTTTGTAAAGCAATTATCCAAGTAAAAACTGGACTCTCAAGCACAGAATTCACCGAAGCAAACAGCAACTCGTTCAAATACACAAATTAATCACCAACTTCCATATGATCCTAATTATCATCACACAATCATCTCTGAGGGTGCTTCCACTTAGTATTTCAAAAAGTGCAAAGCAATATGCTTCTAAAGAATTTAAGGAAGCCTGCTATGAAAACCTCACTGCTCGGCCCCTTCATCTTTTGAGGATTATACATAAATTAATTACCTAATGAATACAAAAATTTCCAATAAGCTAATAGCAGTTAATATAATATTTGCATCAAAGTACAAAGTTAATAATGTACCTTAATCTGCACACAAACTCACAGACATGTTTAATATATATAACATAGTTCCAAGGTTTTCACCCTAGAGTCTAGACATCTGTAATCAATACTTCTTCCATATGTACCATAAAATGTTCTTTTGCAACAATTTTTCACATACTTTGAAAACATTCTGATCATTTACAGCTTCCTACACCTATTTTCACACATCCTCTTTTCACATAGCACACATTACCGTTTCTTTAATATAATTCCTAATTCATTACCAGATGGCAATTGATTAGTTCAGGTTTCACTGCCTCAGGCAGTAAATCGTCATTAGCTATCCACAACTCATAAGTACTTTGAACTCATAGCAGACTACATGCCTAGCAGCATAATTATTAGTATTATACGATACATGATACGTATCATATAATACGTCACGATACACCAAAAAAACGATACGTATTGTACCTGTATCCTTTTTGCACTTTATTGTAGAATACATAATACGATACGTGACGATTCTGTTTTTTATTTATTTTTTATTATTTGATTTTTTGAGGTTGAAATGACATCGTTTTACCCTAGAACTTATTTTTAAATCACTAATCAGTGAAATAACGTCTTTTCAACGGTATGGTTTTAAAAAAAAAAAAAAAATCTACTTTTAATGTCGTTCAATTGAATTCAAAATTTCTAATTAATATTAAGTTTGTTCAAGTAGTTGATGTTAAAAGTTCAAATTAGAGGTCTTTACATTTTGATATTACTGAACTATACTGAAAACTTAAATAGTTGGTGAAACATTAATGAAATGCTATGTTGTTATGAGTCTGACTTTTTTACAAAGGTAAATATATATTATTAATAATTATTTGAAAATTAAAATTATGCGTATGTTACGATACAGAATACGATACACTATTTTTAAAAAATGATACGTCTTCCGATACGTCATTTGACAACTATGCCTACCAGATTATCTTTTTCGTATAACTCAACAATTAATTCGTGTGTAAAAACACAACTCAAACAACTATCTCAACAACTCAACTCAACAAATTCTTGTCTCAACTATCTCATTCTTCAAAATTAAGATAGTATTACTCAATATGTCTGACATCTTTTGCTTCTCTCTTTTTTAAACTTTTGCTTTTATTTTTATTTTCCTCTTTAGATTTCCTCTTTTTTTTAGAATTGTTGTTACCATTGCTTGGACTGGTTGTGCCCAACTCCTCGTGCTCAAGTGAATTTCACTTAGTAATAATGATAACAATAAGCATAACAGCAATACAACATACACTCTAAATTACTACTTCTACTACATTTAAAATGTTTCCCACAACTTCAAATTGTTCTTGTTATAGCGAAGCCTCCATGAAACACTCATGCTCTAGAATCAATAGAATCCTAATTAAAAATTCTAAAAGATTGTAGTTTGTATCCAAGGCAAATGAAGGTAAATATTTTAAAAGAAATTATGGATTTTTTTTTGGCAGTATCTGAAGGACATACTAAAGATTCTATGCATGCCAAATATTAGTAATTCCAAGACAACCAAAGAAATCTTGAGTAATTCCATAAGTTATGGTGAAACCTTTCTGACCTTTTAATGACACTCAGAAGACAAAAGAAAACACATGAAATAGTCGAAGGTCTGTTTAAGTTTAACAGTATCCCAACAAATCAAGACCTATAAAGTTGTCACGAAAGTTACATCCAAACAAGATCAGTAACAAATTGGTAGACTTCAATTACATACAAGGAACAGGCCGTTCATGGGATGAAACAATGAACCTGCAATGTCCAATTATATTAGTACTCACCGTGGTGGTTTGCGATGGTTTCGCTCTTCCAAAACCCAACCTGTATCTGCCAAGGGCGAATGTAGAAGCAATCAATGAAGATGACCTTAAAAAGTAAAACTTTATCCCAAAAAAAGGAACGTTGCAAATGAGCACCAACAGATAATGAATCCCTAACTGGCAATTATCTAAATTCAAGAGCTCTTACATTATGAAATTTAACAAAGGTCCGGGTAATCAATACCTCATTAGGATAACATGCTTCCTCAGAGAAGAATGACGATGAAGACAAACCCTGTTGGTCCATGATGTCCGATGGCATGATGAACCCTGAACTCGAAAGTCACAGTAACACTCAAAGCAGTTCTGCGATTCACTTTAATACTACTGCACCCATACACTCTACTCTAAGTTCAAGAAATTCGTGCTTCAAATAATCTGCATGACAGAATTTCAAAATTAGGCAACCTAATAACAGCACCCAAAAGAATTGAGTTATAGCTACAAGAGATAACCACCTTTTTCGAACAACCAAAGATCATAGAGGTAGAAGTGCATTAAAAACTTTAAAAAATTTTTTTAACAAAGGTGCATTTAAAAACTGAAAAATTATCTTCATACAACGTAATGAAGAGAAGAACCCTGAAGAAGCCATTCGTAAAAAATGATCACGGCAGCAGTTGTGTTGCCAAATTCTTGTATGAGGGCTGAACATCTTTCCGCAAAATTTTCATGGAAATGGACGCTTTTAAAATTGGAAGTTCAGATTAAACAAATAAGCATTTAATAATATCTAGAAAAGAAGGGAACTTTCTCAAATTTCAGCTCCTTCCAAAGCGAATTTCTCCAAATTCGTTTTGGAAAAAATACTCCAAAAAATGGAAAGAGAAAATTCCAGGTATTGGTGAAGCAAACAGGTGTTAACGAGAGGGAAACTAAATTCAGCGATCTAAAAATGGAAAGATCAGCTCAAACTCCAAACCGAACAAAAAAATTCTACCTTCGATCGCAAAGTATAAGCTGCGAAAATTTAAAAGGCCATTAAAAAAAAAAAATCATCTTTGAACTTAAAGCACAACGAATCAAAGGTTGAAATCCAAAAAAACAAAGCACGAACCTTTTAAAATAAGAACGTCATCTCTAAACACACAAAATCAGAGAGCAATTCTGAGCACGAAATTGAACACATACGGAGGAAGAGACATGGCCGAAGAAGAATTTAAACAAAGCAAAGTTAGCTAAAGGATGGAGTGAGAGAGAGAGAGAGAGAGAAATGGAATGGATTACGGCATAAGGTAAGGGAGGGAGATTGAAGAAGAGATCTAGGTATCTGTGCCGTGCAAGATCCTCCAAAGCTTCGATACCTTCTCTCTACTCTCTTCGTATTCCTCTTTCCTCCTTTTTTCCTACATTGCACGTTAACTACATGTATTCTCTCATTATTTTATCCCTCAATAATTCTCTCTCACAAGGAACCCCCGTCTCTTTCACTCTAATCTACCCTCAGCTCCCCAGTATCTCCAGCAACCTCCAGTCGGAATTTATGGAGTTCCCGACGAGCGACGGCGAGAGATTCCGAGCCCTCGGTCGCTCGCTTGCTCTCTCCTCTTGACAGAAAAAAGGGAAAAAAAACTGCATATATATATATATATATATATATATANTATGGAGTTCCCGACGAGCGACGGCGAGAGATTCCGAGCCCTCGGTCGCTCGCTTGCTCTCTCCTCTTGACAGAAAAAAGGGAAAAAAAAACTGCATATATATATATATATATAAGAAATAGAAAGGGATCGGTTTGGCTTTGAATAGAATTAGAATAGACCAGAGGAAGAAAAACGACCGGAAATGAGTAGAGGACCAAACCCGCTCCTACAAACACGAGGCCCTCCGATGAGTTTGATCAACGTCAGAGAGAACAAAACAACGAATCATGATAAATGTGCGCGCGTGTATGTGTGTGTGAGTGTGAGAGAGAGAGAGAGAGAGAGGTGCTAGCCGTTAACTGTTTGACGGCGTTAAGCCCAAATCCGTTTTGTTTGTCTGTGTTAAAGACACCCTGGCAGGCTCCGGCACCAGGTTTATTGAATTTAATTAACTTTCCTTTTCGTCGGGNTATGTGTGAGTGTGAGAGAGAGAGAGAGGTGCTAGCCGTTAACTGTTTGACGGCGTTAAGCCCAAATCCGTTTTGTTTTGTCTGTGTTAAAGACACGCTGGCAGGCTCCGGCACCAGGTTTATTGAATTTAATTAACTTTCCTTTTCGTCGGGGGTGAAATGACAGAAAAGGGCATAAATGTAGTTTCATTTCATCCGTTCAATCAGACCGAGAGATCCTATAATACATATTTTCTTTAAATATTTTGGGTTTTTTATTTATGAAATATTAAAAAACTAGTTATTGTATGTGTTTAAAGGTGCAGAATAATAAAAAATTATAAATAATAAACATACTTGTATTTATATCTAAAATCAAATCACAAATATAGACAAAAGATAAAGGTATTTAANTCTGTGCTTAAAGGTGCAGAATAATAAAAAATTATAAATAATAAACATATTTGTATTTATATCTAAAATCAAATCACAAATATAGACAAAAGATAAAGGTATTTAAGCATCAATTTTATAGTGTGAGTGAAAGGNTATGTGTTTAAAGGTGCAGAATAATAAAAAATTATAAATAATAAACATACTTGTATTTATATCTAAAATCAAATCACAAATATAGACAAAAGATAAAGGTATTTAAGCATCAATTTTATAGTGTGAGTGAAAGGTGGTAGATGGTAGTGGTGGTGGTAGGAGACAGTGATAGTTGTGGTGGGTAACAATGTCTGTGGTGGTGGCGACAACGGCAATGGCGGTGGTGGTGGGGTCAACAGCGGTGGTGGTGACAGCGACGACGGTGGTGATGGAGGCGGGAACGGTGCTGGTTGCGGTAGCGGTGGTGGTGGCGGCAGTGGCGATGGTAGCGGCGAGAGTGGAGGTGGCGGTGGTAGAGTTAGTGGTGTGACAATTTTAAATACTATTTTTTTTAAGTATTTATGATAAATAATTTCTAGATGTACTTTTAAAAAATCACTTCAAACACACCCTTAGGCTCCTATTTTTCTTGTTAAATTTAGGGTATTAATATTAGCCGTTAAATTAACTTTAAAGTAAAATTTAAAGCGATTTCAAACGCGAATAACAAAAGTCAATTTGTTACCGTTTAAAATTTAAATTGTAAGTTACTTTATTATAAAGATATATATGAAAGATGATATAAATATTATTCGAACAATCCATAAAATTGATACAAAACAAAGAATTTAGAGAAGAAAAAGTTTGAGAAGTCTTCCCTCCCTCTTTTATAAATTCTTACAATGTTAAATTTTTGGGTTAATTGTAAATTGAACCCTCAAAATCGTTCGAATCTCAATTTATACCCTCAAAAATAGAAATTTGTATCAATGTGCACCCCCAAAGATCAAAAATTTCAATTTACACCCTCAAAGATAAAANCTCTCAAAATCGTTTGAATCTCAATTTACACCCTCAAAAATAGAAATGTGTATCAATGTGCACCCCTAAAGATCAAAAATTTCAATTTACACCCTCAAAGATAAAAAAATCTCAATTTACACCCTAAAAGATAGAAATTGTATCAATGTGCACCTAAAATTAAATTAATAAATTTTACCTAAATCCCCTCATATTTGTCACTTAATCATTTGAACCCCTTCACATTTAGAATATTATTCCTACATCTCATAACGTTTGTACACGTGTAACACGTAACTCATTTTCGTTGATATATGTTAAGAAAACTGTTAAAAATTATAATTTCATATTACCCTTTATTTTGTGGGTCCAATATACTCTAAAGTTCAAAATCAAGTTTACCATTTGAATATCTAATACCATTCAAATTATAATTTTAATGGTAATATGAAATAAAGGGTAATATAAAATTATAATTTTTTATTAGGATAAAATCATATTTTTTAACATACTTTTTAACAGTTATATTAACAGATATTAATGAAAAGGAGTTACGTGTTACACGTGTACAAACGTCATGAGATGTAGGAGTAATATTCTAAATGTGAAAGGGTTCAAATAATTAAGTAACAAATATGAAGGGATCTAGGTATAATTTATCAATTTAATTTTAGGTGCACATTGATACAAATTTCTACTTTTGAGGGTACAAATTGAGATTTTTTATCTTTGAAGGTACACATTGATACAAATTTTTATCTTTGAGAGTGCAAATTGAGATTTTTTATCTTTGGGGGTGCACATTGATACAAATTTCTATCTTTCAGGATACAAATTGATATTTGAACTATTTTTTCAGGGTGCAACTTACAATTAATCCTAAATTTTTTTATTCAAAATTGAAGAATCCCTCTAATCAACTTCTATCATGTATTATTTGTAATCACCTTTCCACGCTCTTATAATTAATCATTAATTTTTAAAATTTGTTTAAAAATATTATTTTCATCAACTAAAATATTTTTTATAATTAATTAAAACTAGAAAGAGACAAGCCAAGTGAGGTGGGTGGGTGGGTAGTTTATGAATATGAATCTAATTGAATACCGTTATAAATAATTTTAGTATAACATAATCTAACAAAATAAAATCCACTCAGCGTTATAATTAAATTGAATCATTGAAACGGTTATTAGTTTTGAGGTAATGGTGATTGTGGTTTAGGTAATGAGGGCTAAAACAGGTCAGGTTATCATAGTGCCATTTGGAATGCACTTAAATTAAGGGGGCCTTCGGATATGTGGTGTAGTGTTTATGGATTAGAGTAATGATTATTACAGTAGGATTCTGATTCTTTATGCAACGTGGTACTATCTAAGTGGCGATTTTATCTTTTAGTAAATATTATAATAATTATTTTTGAAATACTTTCTAAAACTCTCATTCTAATCCTTGTCAATAAAAATATATTTGTTCATTTTCACTCCTTATACCCAAAGACTATCTTACGTGTTTTTCATATGCACATTCACATTATTGATTCTAAAAGAGTAAAATGGACGGAAAGATATTTATTAACATGAATATGATAAATTCGAAAATAAATTGAGATAATTAAAAATTAAATGATTTTAAAATCAATTTTATAATTTAAAATTTAAAATTGAATTATAATATTTATCTCGTTTTTTTTTAAAGTATAGAGCATCCAAGAAATGAGGAAGATCGAGAATAGGATAGTAGCTTACTACTTGTTTTTTTGTTTTTTTTAATAGGGTGTTTAAGTTTATACCTACTACTCTTTTAAGTTCAATGATTGGATATTGTGGTGTGAGTTGGGTTAAAGAATGTCCTTAAAAGAATACAAATGACTAACTTTTAGAGCATGTGAAAAAAAAAAAATCTTAAACCGTTTAAATTATCAAAAATCAAGTTAAATCACTTAGAGCATCTCCAACAGACAAAATAGGCAAATTTTAGCTAATCAAAACCAAAAATAACACTCCAACAGATTATGTTCATATACTGTAAAATAAATTTTTGTTACAGTGATGCTCTAAATATAGAGCATCACTGTAGAAATATGTAAACATAACATATATTATTTTCTCTCTCTTCTTCTCATTTCTTTCATTCTCTCTCTTTCTCCCTTTCATTATTTTCAAAAAATATAATACAAAAGGGGTGATAAATAATATTTAAAAGGAGTAGTTAAAAATATAGAGAATTTGTTGAAGTATATATTAAAAAAATAAATAGTTAAAATAAAAAAAATTACTTTTTAGATAGTTAAAATAACTATTATTGTTAGATTGCAGTAGCAGAGTACCTACTGGCCCCATACAAGAGCAAAATAGATAGATGCTGCGACAGCGTTGCTAAATAAACCGACACAGAAAGCGAGAATTTTTTATTTATTTAGATAGATGGATAAGAGTAGGTAAAGTTAAGTGTGTGCAGAAATAATAATTGGAACTGGTTGCTCTTTCGTTACACGTGGATGCTAATTATTGATAAAAAACAAAAAATGCTCTCACTTCTTACGGGCAATGCTTTGCTGGTTTGGTTCCCATCCTATCCTTTGCTGTTTTAATTTGTTGAAAAAACAAAATAAAGAAAACGGCTGTACAATTCTACAAGATAATATCGTCATTTTTATTTTTTATTTTTTGTTTTTTCACATACGGCAAAGCGGACGACACTGTCAGTGTCTTCAACTAACAAACCAAACGCAGCCTTTCACAAAATGTNGCTTTTTCACATTCGGCAAAGCAGACGACACTGTCAGTGTCTTCAACTAACAAACCAAACGCAGCCTTTCACAAAATGTGGAGGGTGGGATAGCCCATTCACATTGACAAATTCAGATGGTCTAATTATCAGCTAATTTTGACAAAGATTAAAGTTAAAAT